CCTAATAACGACAATAATAATAACGTCCTATCCGTATGCATGGCTGACCCAGTCATTGAAGATGAGCCCAAGCCTGAGGCAGCTCCTACTTCCTCTACTAAGAAGGAAGGAGTATTCGCTCCTCAGTGGTTTCACTGTGTGTACCCTCGCAAGCCCGCTACCAGGTCCGATCCTGTCATGGTCAAGTTGCTTGCCCAAGTGCGTCGTGAGATTCTCTGTGTTATTCCCTGGGAGTTTTATATGTCAGGTGAAGGAGCTCTCGGAAGCTGAGTTCGAGGGTGAAAATTGTCTCGAGAAAATTTCTGGGAGATCACCATGGAAGTTGTCCATTCTGGCCAGCGGCGAGCAGCTTTGTGCTTTTATCGTCTACAAATTCGTCAATGAGCGTAGGGCTTTCAGCGTCGCTAAATTGGCGGTACCCAAGACCATGCGTGGAAAAGTATGTTGACCAGGGCTTGACCGCGCGCCACGAAACTCCAATCTTGTCTCTTTTAGGGTTTGGGTACTTTTGTGATGAAATGGGTGAAGGAATCCTGCAAGTCAAATCCTAATGTGGACTTGGTCACTCTCTCAAGCTTGCCGGCTGCTATAAAACTCTATAAGAAGATTGGGTTTAGGAAGATTTATACGATTACTCAAAGTGAGTCGACCTAATGTGTGTCTTAGTCGTTGATTATCTATCAGGTGATCCGGAGGAGGAACTAGTCGAAGGCCAGGTTTATATGGAAATGAACGTAAGTTTGCTACTGCAGTTTATGCGCAGTAGTAATGAAATCAGGTACGCAAGCCTGGCCAAGCCCGTCACCGCGCCTCGCATCGCCGAACTTGACTAGGGCCCTCGAGACCTCGAGAGATTGGCTACTTGTATGTTGGAGGGAGACCTAAATTGGATACATCTATTAAGACGTTTTCCCTTTTTGTTGTTTTCTACCATAACTCTGTCCGTACTGGTCTCTACTATTGTACACTAGTAAGAACTGAACAGACGTTTCAGTTGATGCCACTCACGTTATATTGCACTCTTCTCGCCGATGCGAAAGATAAGCACCCGAGCTCAAAGGTCATCTCCGTCGTCGTTGGTATTACCTCGCGGTTGGCCAATTATAGTCGGGGAATTATAGCCCTGATCACGCTGCCCTGTTGCACAGAAACGGCTGACTTGCGTTATGAATTCACAAGGGGCTAGCCGAGGCAGTTCGCCCTTAGTAGTGATGACCGCACTTGTATTAGCACAGAAAAGCCCTCGCGAATCGCTGGTGCGCTACGACCCTCCACAAGACATTGGGGTTGCCCCTGACCCTCCGGTTGATCCTGAGGATGATGAAGTAGTGACAATACTAGGACATGGCTTCAGTGTTGGAGGACTATATGTTGGCTTTCCTCAGCTGAGTTCAAGAGTTTCCAAAGCTACATAATAGAAGAGTTTATCTACGAATTAGGGTAGAAGTGTACGGAATTCCCTCCCAATTTTCATAGTGTCACCAACATATATAGTTGACCATGTATGCATGGTGTAGTGTAGAACCTGATCTCAGTTGGAGTACCTGGGCATTGAAGCGACCGACCCGGACAAGGCCATCGCTGATGCTATCGCGGCTCAGTTGACGGAATCGGCTGAGTTGCCAGCTATGGATAGCAAGCCTACTACTAAGGATGTGAGCTCCCGTCATTGTGACCCGGTCTGTCGGGCTTATTGCTCATTTTAAGGTGTTGCATATCCTCCTACCACCACGAGAATGGTCTGAGAACGGCAGACATATCATGCAGGTGAGGATGTATATCAGCATATCTTTGGTGAATCTTCCCTGTGCGTAGTACGTCAACGATCAGCCATCTACTAGGGTGGATGTGATAGCTCTGCAGGAAGCCTTGGATGGTAAGCTTGTGGAAAGGCAAGCTAGAGAGATCGGGATTTGCCCGGTTCGGGAGGAGCTCTATGGTCAATGCTTTGGTGAGTCGAGATCAATCACATTGCTACTCGAAATAGACCGTA